TAACACCCATGATTTAAAAGGATGATTCACCCAAAATTGACATTTTTATAATCACTTGCTCACCCTCCACTTTTTTCAAACCTGTTTGAATTCCTTTCTTATATTAAACACACAAGAAGATACTTTGAAAAATGTTGTTCTGATATGAAAGTCAACGGCCACCAACATTCTTTCTTTTTCTTTTGAGTTCAACAGATAGGATGAAAAAACAATTCATAAAGCACATGAAGGGGAGAAAATAGTGAACAGATTTTCATTTTTGGGTAAACTATCGATTTAACGTTAAAGAAAGTCTTACAAACGTCAATAACTTTACTGCACACAAACTTGTTTGTTTTCCCAAAAAATTGGAGCAATTTTGGAGATAAATTAAAAAGATTTTAATAGTTTTGTAATAAAATGCAGCATCTCCTTGACATGTCAACAACAAAACTAATGTCATGCATTTTTTTTGTAAGGATATTTGGTTGCTTTTGTGCAAATGAAGAGTTCAGATGAAAAAAAACCTTAAGTGCCATCTGCAATTTCCTTCTAAAATTAGCATTTTTCACAGCCTCCTATGTTTATGTTCAATTATTTCACATTAAAGCCAATAAATATAACCTATTCTGTGTCATAAAAGTAAAATTACTGAGCCTCCACAAATTAGCACCTGAGAAAAATGCTCAGTTTAGAAGAAACGTTTTTTGGCATCTGAACTTGTCAGATATTGACATACAGTAAATTTGTGACAGTGGAAACATTTTCAGGATGTCTGAATTGATCTTTTTTAGAAATTAAAATATTTGGGGCAACTTAGAGAGACTTTGCAGATCATAATATATACAAATAGCTACACTGTTAAACAACAACAACATCATTTTTCAGTTTATTTCCAGCAGCTGGGGTGCCGGAGCAAACACGTAAAATTATGGCTGTTAAATTACAGAAATTTACCGTAGAAAAACAGAGGTTGAATTAAAGAAATTTTAATTTGAGTTTTTTTGTAATTTAATGCCTGTTATTTTACAGTAAATTTCTGTAATTTAATGGCTGTTATTTTATGTTTTTTTTTTTTTCGGCACCCTAGCTGCCGGAAGTAAAATTACAGATTTTTTAACAGTGTATACAACACACACACACACAAAAAAAGAAAATATATGCATCATAGGATATGCCACAGCCATGTCACCCTGCAGCCCAAGACCGGTTAGTCACTGAAGCTAAGCAGGGCTGAGCCTGGTCAGTACCTGGATGGGAGACCACTAGGGAACACTAGGTTGCTGTTGGAAGTGGTGTTAGTGAGGCCAGCAGGGGGCGCTCAACCTGTGGTCTGTGTGAGTCCTAACGCCCCAGTAAAAGTGAAGGGGACACTACACTGTCAGTGGGCGCCGTCTTTCGGATGAGACGTTAAACCGAGGTCCTGACTCTCTGTGGTCATTAAAAATCCCATGGCACTTCTCGTGAAAGAGCAGGGGTGTAACCCCGGTGTTCTGGCCAAAGTCCTTCTATCGGCCCTTACGATCATGGCCTCCCAATCATCCCCTTCCACCGAATTGGCTCGATCACTGTCTCTCCACTCCACCAATAGCTGGTGTGTGGTGAGCGCACTGGCGCCGTTGTCCTGTGGCTGCCGTCGCATCATCCAAGTGGATGCTGCACACTGGTGGTGGTGTGGAGAGACCCCCCCCCTCATGATTGTGAAGCGCTTTGGGTGTACGGCCATACACAATAAATGCGCTATATAAATACACATTACATTTACATTACATAGGAGTCCTTTAAGTAAATACTAAGTATTTGGGATGTAATGAAGAAAATGTATTACCAGAACTCTTTACCGAATACTGTGCGCGCCACACATGCTTGATCATTCGTTTCATACTGAGGGCTTTTAGAGTTGATATCTGCGTCTCAGATCACAGAGGATGAACACTAATTGAAAGCTAAATGTCAGAGGAGAGTCGAGGGTGTAAACAGCACAAAGGCAGACAGTTACAGGTGCCTACTGACTTGGCACTGGATACACAGACGCTGCCACAAGAGGAAATGTCAAGCCTGGCACTCTGGAGGAGGTCTGTGGTCCGTCTGACGTAAAAGAACATGCTGAAAGTGTCTCGTCATATTTACTCCCTCGCATGCAGACTAAATTGTCAAGCCTAAGCCAAAAAAACTTTGAGTGTGGTGACCATTATTGGTAAGCGATGAGTATGTTTACATGGACACCAATAATCCGATTTGAATACAATCAAGACTATACTCTTTAAGAGTCTAGATTAGGAGTCTACCTATCAATTTTTGGTCAATTTAATCCGATTAAGGTATTACTCAAACTAATCAGAAATTGATTTAATATAAGTGGAGTATGCTGATTTTGTTGTAGTGCAGTACAGACATGTAAGCACCGCAATCAAACTATTACTGTCGTCTAGGATTTGCGACAGGATAGTCTATATACACACGGATGTTTGACAATATTCTCTGCACCTACAGTCAGTAAAGAACCACAGACACCTCCATCGTGAAATGCAGAGGTGCAGAGAAATGCAGTTCAAACTCACATCCAATATCTCATTTGTCACGGGGGACATGCATGAAATGTTCCCGAATGAAATTGAAATTGCCAAACTGCAGGTAAAGTCGAAAAATTAGAAGTGAAACAGCAAATAATGTCCATAAATGTAGTCACTCTGTGAGTTTCCTTGTTTTTACTAGCTGTAAACTAAAATTATTTTCAATTATATGACCATTTTTACAATGTAAGAGAATAAAGAATGCTTTAAAGTTCTTAGGTAGACTACCGTTGAAAAGGTAGAGGTCAGTAATATGTTAAATAAATTTATTCAGTGAATTATTAGTTTTAAATTATTCAGTAAAGCATTAAATTGACCGTGAAAACTTTATTTGTAAACCAGTGTTGTTGCTTTGAACTTTGTATTCATTCACATTTTCTTGGTTCAAATAGTAAAGTAAACACAAAATAAAAATAGTAAACACAAAAAAAACCTAAAAAAAATAAAATAAAAATAAAGCTCCATACTAACATATTAGAATGATTTAGGAATGATAATGTGACAAGTTAAAATATAGTAAATTCAATACGTTTTCAATTATAATTTTAATAAATATTAAAATAGAAAAATGTTGAAAAGTTTTTTTTTTCAAGACAAGAATTTTTTGAGAAAATAAATGCAGCCTCGGAGTATAACTAAAAGTGTCATTTTTATATTGTTTATTCCACCTTTTTTAACAGTATTATGGCTTTATATCATATAATTTGTGACATTATATCACAAAAAGCATGAAATATAATAGTGAAATATTAAATAGTGTGAGCATTATGTAATGACTAAAAAAATTAAACGTTTATAAAATCTTAATATGGAAGAAATGTAAAACAAAATTGGAGTTCTTGTAAAATAAAAGTTACATATGGTAACATCATGTACTATTTATTTATTTATTTATTTATTTATTTATTTATTTATACAGGGACAATGTACAACATGACATGTTGTGCCAGAGTCCCCGGGCAGGAAGTTGTAACAAGTTTAACAATATAAAAAACAAAAATGTACAATATACACTTACAGTACAATACAATACATCATAGCCAATAAAATTAATTCAAATCAGTGGTTGCATATTTGATTTTCTTTAAGCCAACCTTTAAGGGCAGTTTTAAAACTATTAAAAGTGGTACTCTGATATGTGCTGGTATTTTATTGCATCTCTCTGCTGCTCTGATTAAAAAAATAAAAAAAAAATAAAAAAAAATCATTGTTCAAAAACAGTTCCCTTGAGTTTAACTAAACAATCACCTCTAACTGATGACCTAGTCTGTCTTATATTATCCTTGCAGACAATTACATATTGTTTGACAGCTGGTGGTGCAAGATCATTACATATTTTATATACGCATCAGCATACAATAAAAACTTGTTGAATGTTAGTAATTTATGTTGTTCAATACAGTTTCATCAAAGATAGCTCCTTAGCTTTTTAGCTTTTTATTTACAGTTTGCTTATAAATAATATACAATGGTTTTAATGTTGTAATCTTCATGTGGGACCTGCTTGTAGCACAATAAGATAAAAGAGGCAAAATCATTGTATTTATAAAAAAGTTTAGCGGCAGCCATAACTGATGCCTGATGTTTCTAAAAATCCTCAGGCTTGCTCTAGCACTTTTGTAAACCTTCTTAATGTGTTTTTTATTTTTATTTTAATTGAAATTAGAGTCAATTATTATACCTTAATATTTAAAATGATCAACAATATTTATTACTTCTCTATTAACTAAAATATCTGAGCAATGCTCCTCATTTATCTTGATTGTAAAAACATTCCCACAGTTTTACTTACATTGAGGGTCTGAAACTTTTTTGAGTGCAGCAGTAAGTTTATTAGCAGCTATACAGTATATATACACAGGGCGGATTTAACCAATAAGCAAGATAAGATGCCGCTTAGGGCCCCAGGAAATCTTTGGGCCCCCAAATAAAAATCAAGAAGTATAAATTATACCTGTAAATTATACATACCATCATTTACTATCAAATTTTGTATGATGAGTGACTAAAAAAAATAATGTTTAATGTTTATTACATCTGCAAATGTATCCCCCACTCTCAATTATGGAGAAGTCCAGCAGTCAGATTAGGTAAATAATAGATATCATTTTAGTTGTGAATTCATTTTAAGAAAACAAATCGTTTAATTTTTTTTTACAAGATGCTCTACATGTTGTTATTAATATTTTGCATGAAGACAAAATGTTGAAAAGGAGTGATATACGAAAAAAACAACAATAACAACTGAAAAGTAAATCAATTAAAGTACAAGAGGTGCATTAACTTTTGGGCCCTATGGCTGAAATTGCTTAGGGCCCCCAAATCACTAAATCCACCCCTGTATATGTATACATGTTAAATAGTAATTAATAACTAATGTATAAGAACTAAATAATAATAATACAATTCAATATATATTTTTTATTTACCCTTGTACTCTTTTCGCAGGTCTTTTCGTTATGTGCGGAGCCATCATTTACACTGTAATGAACCATGAATGGGTCCATGAGTCATTAAACTACGGCTTCTCCTACATCCTGGCCTGGGTGGCCTTCCCTCTGGCGTTCATAAGCGGGTTAATCTATGTCATTTTGAGGAAACGAGAGTGAGGTGGCATTACCCTCTAGTGGCGCCACATTGGAAATACAGCTTTAAAGCCAAAGAATCGCACTGCATCCACAGAGAAGTGAAATCCCGCAGTATCTTCTTCACCCCGGGGGTCAGTTCAGATCAAGCCCACTGCCACCCCCCGAAAAAAGACATATTCAATACTGTCATCGTCTGAAGATGTATATAGTATCTATGGTTTAAAACCTATTTATAACACTTTTTACATGTATGTACATAGTATTTTATGTTGGCTCTGTTGACAAAGAACTTCTGAAGAGCTTTTGTTTTAGCTAATGAAGTGCCTCGAGTGTGTGTTTGTCGCAGAAATGTGCATTTGCCATAATGTGTGTTTTTTTCCTTTCCAAAAAATACTTATAACAATGTTTCTGATGTATTTTAACCAAACGTGCATGTATTACATGTTAGGGATTACTGAAAAGGAACAGTTGCATTGAGAATTCATAGATGAAGTAGCTTAAATACCACGGTTAGATCTGTATTTTTTTTAAAGATAGATTTACTTTGTTTTTCCAACAAAAAAATGGTGCTATGTATTTGCCATTCCTTTAGCTAATAGCCATTTAGCCTTTATATACAAGGGCGTAACATGACTGAGAGCCAAAATCAGAATGCCATTGAATATATATATTGTGCTTGTGCCTATAACACAAAACTGTATATACATAGTAGCTACTCACCAAAAATACTTTCATTTTATAATAAAAGAAACAAAATGTGTTCTTAATAACGTTGTTAGATTTGGGAGATCGTAATAAAATCGTAAAAACAAAGAGGATTTATTGGTTTTAGTTACTTATAAGAGCAGTATTAGCAACAGGATTTGAGAGATATTGTAATAAATATTGTGTGATAATTGACTGTAAAACCCAATAAGTTAAGGTAACTTAAACCATTTGAGGAAACCAATTGCAACAAACCATTTAAGTTCAAAAGTTAATCCTAATGAGTACTGTGAACTTAATCCATTTGAGTAAATGGAGCAATTTAAGCACAGTAAAACCGGATAATCGAAGATAACTCAAACCAATTGAGTACTATAAAACTCAAGTTAAGGCAACTCTGGTTTAATCAAACCATTTGCAACAAATCATTTGAGTTAAAAACTAATCTATATGAGTACTGTGAACTTCATTTAAGTTGAAGCAATGCGGTATTTAATTAACTCATTACCTTCAACACTGAGTTCAATACTCTTTTCAAATGAGTAGAATTAGCTTGCAGTCAATTTGAGTAAACTACACTCAAATTGATAAAGTTGACTTGGGTTTTACAGTGTTTCGCATTCAACTCCAACTACACTTTGACGGGTTTGACCAGGCTTTCATTGGGCATTACATAATTCAACAGTTGAGACGAACGCCCTGCATATTCATCATGAAATATGAAGGAATTTACAATACTGTACAGTATGTTATTATATAATATCCATAAACACTTACTTAAAAAGCATCAAGTGGCAGTTTTGTTATGAAATGCGGACATGACGGTGGATGGATGCATCGTAACATCTGCATGCATTGGTAAATTGTCGAGTACTTGAAATATAACAATTGCTGCGATGTCTATACGATGCTCAACTCACAGAACTCACAGTCATTCACAACGTACTGTAATAGCATGTGATTGTATTAAAAGAAAAACATATTACTTACAACTAAAGGCCCTATTCTGAGGACCATGTATTAGATTGCTTTTCCTGCAACACCAAAAACAATAAATGATGTTTTGTTATGAGATGATGTTGCCTGTTTTTATGGTTGATGAATGCCTAAATCCCATTGTTTTTGTTTTTATCTGTGACTGAACAAACAAGAATCATTTATTTTACCCACAAAAAAATTATTTTGAAACTTCCCAGCAAGCACTTTTTGTTTTGAAAAGATGTCTAATAGACATCTAAACATGGTCGTCTTGGCTAAAACAAGGCTAAATTTGGGCTGTCAGTGAAAAATAGATGTAAAGAATAGGCCAAAACTAGACTAGTCATTTACTAAACAGAAATGAAGGACTACACATATCAGTCTGTCTATTTGATGACTAGTCTAGTTTGGGCTATTAGATTTTCACTAACAGCAAAAGTTTGGCCTTGTTTTAGCTAAAATGTCTGCGTTTAGACATCTATTAAACACAAAATTGTTGGCTGGGTTATTTCTTTCATGTATTAAGGGATTTCTGTATTTAGCGATTGATAACCCCCTTTAAAAATAGCAGTATATAATCTATTTGTGGACCAGCACTACAAGCCTATTGCATGTGCTCATTTAACAACACTAGCATGAACTTAAAACCGCAATCGTTACTTGACATCAATCTGACGTTAATATCTGAACGTTCATTTAAATGGCCTAAATCATTGTAAACTGTAATATTTGTATGTCATTTCTGAAAACAGCTGTACTGTACGTCATGTCTGAAGGAGTATGAGCTCTGATGAAGACTGTTCATTCACTCGAACCCATCTCTGTGCCTCGCTTCTCTTATCAAAGCTTGTGTTTGTGTGTTTATTAAAAGCTGTTAAAAATAAATTATGCTTGCCAGACAACTGTCTCTATTATTGCTTAATTTTCCTCACAAAAACTGACAAATATAAAATATTTACAGTTGAAGTCAGAATTAATAACCCCCCTGAATTATTAGCCCCCCCGTTTATTTTTTTCCCTAATTTCTGTTAATGGAGAGAAGATTTATTTAACACATTTCTAAACGTAATAGTTTTAATAACTCGTCTTTAATAACTGATTTATTTTATCTTTGCCATGATGACAGTACATAATATTTGATTAGACATTTTTCAAGACACTTCTATACAGCTTAAAATGACATTTAAAGGCTTAACTAGGGTAATTAACTAGGTAGGTTAGAGTAATTAGGCAAGTTATTGTATAATGATGGTTTGTTCTGTAGACTATCGAGAAAAAAAGGGGCTAATAATATTGAACTTTAAATGTTTTTTTACTGATTTTACTCTAGCCAAAATAAAAGAAATAAGACTTTCACCAGAAAAAAAAAAAAAAAAAAAAAACATTATGGGATCATACTGTGAAAATGTCCTTACTCTGTTAATCATATTTTGGGAAATATATATAAAAAAATAATAATAATAATTTAAAGGGGATTTAATAATTCTGATTCTAACAATACAATTGTAAGGTTTTTATATATATTTTTATTTAAATGCAATGTTGTTTTTACTAAAATGTATTGACACATTATAATTTACCGATATACAGTTGAAGTCAGAATTATTAACCCCATGATTTTTTTTCTTTTCTTTGTTCTTTTTTTTTATATTAATAAAGTGCTTTTTAATGATTTTATTTGTTTATTTATTTATTTTATTTTCTGAATTTTTATACAGTGGGAGGTCTTCTTTTCTTAGTTTGGCTCACTGTAAAAAAAAAAAAAAAAAAAAAAAAAAAAAAAAAATATATATATATATATATATATATATATATATATATATATATATATATATATATATATATATATATATGAATGATCAATTAGTCATGACAGTATATGTTTTTAGTTCATTGTAACTTATTAAACTTTAATTTAACTTGAACAGTTAATCATGTTCCAACTTAATTTACTAAAAAGTTACTAGAGCTGTTTTAGATCAATTTAACATAATATAAGTTCAATGGACTGATAAGGTTAACCATAATTAACCTTTACTATTAAAGTAACCAGGTCATAAGTAACCAGGATTTTTTACAGATTGGAGTAAAATGTTTTTACATTTTTAAAAGCAAACTTTATGGTCAATATTATGAGCACCTTTAAGATTTTTTTTTTCTCGATAGGCAGATAAACACATATTTACATATAAATATAGTACTGTATATCATATACAGATCAAAACACTATCCAACTTGCCTAATTAACCTAGCTTGCCTACACTGTAAAAACAATTCTTGCTGCCTAATTGTTTTAAATCAAATCAATTTTAACTCTCATCAATCAAACTGCCAAAAAATATTAAGTTAAATTTTGCATAATAAAAAAAACTTTGGGTAAATAAGCTAATGCAACAGAAAAATATCTGTTGTCTTTTTGCAGTGTAGATAACCTAATAACCTACAATAAAAAAATTGATGTCTGCAAAATTGTTGCAAACACTTTGTGTTGAATTTAACAAACAAATTAAAATTAGTAATGTTTAACTTAATTTGTTTGTCCAAATTCAGCCTAGATAAATTGTGTACCACTTAACTTTAAAAATGTAGTTAATTCCAAGGAATCATATTTGTAACATCTTTTTCAGCATTTTAAATTGCACTTTAAGCTGAATAATATGTTGCAAAATAACTAGAAAAATATTCGGTACTGTCATAATTGTGGTAAGAAAATGCATTGGTTATTAGAATTTTTTAATTAAAACTATATTTAAAAATTTTTGGTGTTTTGTTTTTTTTCTTTACTTGGAAAATATTTTGAAAATAATTATCCGATAAAGACAGTTTTGAGGAATGTAAACAATAACAATGGTCCCAATGTTTTTCCTGTTTTACATTTTTAATTTCTATAGCTTCCGAGAATCCAAAAAGGGCCATACATCGATAAATAATGTTAGGATATCTGTTTTAACATTAAGTTACAATTGAATTGCCTATTGTTAAAGTCAGTAATTTTTATGGGCCAATGACATGACCGCACTGAAACAGTCTATAAAAAATCTGCCTACAAAAGTCTAAATAACAATTCAGCAGCATACATTCATGTTACTGTCAATTTGCAAACTCAAGAGTTCTTCAGCACCAGATGGCTAGATAATAGTGCCACATAGTGGTGTAATTTAAATAGTGCAGCTTAATATGAGACAATATTAAGACGGAGTGCCATCTAGTGTTACACATTACAATATACATGGTAACTGACAAGGGGTTTTAGAGCATCCAAACTAGATGATTTTCTCCAAAATAAATAAATAAATAAAAAGAAAAAATTTATTTTTACGACTATGATATATTTTATTAGGTACAGATCAAGGTAAATATGCTATTTTTTAACACATTCCACTCTCAATGACAAAGCAACATTATTTAATTTACTTAAAAGTTTTCTAACCATTTTTATGTGGATTTAATAGGTTTTCTTTGTATGCAAAATTATGTTCATAAATATAACTTGATGTGGCCAACCAAAAAGATTTGTATTGTTTGCAAGTTGTTTTATGTGGATTGCTATTGTGTACTAAAACAACAAATCCATCAGTAGCACAAAATATTATAGACCATATGTGAGCTAATAGATTGATTTTCGATTTGATTTTTCAACATTTTCTTTTTGAAGAACCGTGCTGCCGTCTAGTGAGAGTCATCATAACTTTGTCTGTAGGATAACTTGCAATGAACTTTTAACATAAACAACTCTTAAAAAATGAAGCAAAAGTTACAAACTAAAGGAGTATAAGAACAAAACAAATTAAGGAAAAAGGAACAAGAAAGAAAATGTCTCAGACCATTTCAAAAGGTGTCACAGTCCATTTAATCTAATTACACCGTTCATGAAATAATCAGCAGTGCCATCATCAGTCTTCATTTACATAGGCTTTGTTTTTGCGGGTAGAATTTTTCACACGTGTTTTAAAATGACTGAAGGCAATTTATTAAAACATATAAAATAAAAATAAAACATTAATACAAAATATTTATTTCAGAAAATATAAATGTATGCATGCTGGGCACTTCAGCTGAACTTTATGATTAAAAGCACTGAAAACAATTTGTGTATTAATTAATTATAGATATATAACTCATAATGTCTGTTTAAGGGAATCAGATGATGTTGGGCTCTCCTGGGAATGTCTCTGTAAGGCAGACACATTAATATTACCCATGTGTCTCATCTTATAATGATGGTAATTAATGTATGTGACCACAAAACCCCTGCAACTTAAGCCTGTCAGAAAGATTTGCTGCACCCCGTCCTATTTTGTATAAGCTCTAATCCTAAAGATCTGGAATTGTGTTACGCAACAGAGAAAATACTAATAATAATAATACAAATAATACAAATAATAATAATAATAATAATAATAATAATAATAATGAAACAGATTAGGTAATTAAAAAATTATATTTTTATGAGTAAGTTTTTTAATTATTTACTCAAACTGAGATTATTTATTTATTTAAGCTGTCTGTGGAAAATCATAAAAAAAAAATTTTAGTAGAGTTTATCCAGAATCATGCAGCTGAATTGATGTTGTACAATGTTTTCTCTAGGTTAGGAAAACATTTCAATAAAATAAAATAATTGATTAAACACACACACAAAAATAAATAAATAAATAAACATATATATATATATATATATATATATATATATATATATATATATATATATATTATGGTTTATGATAAAATAAAAAAAAAATTTAATCAAATAAAAACATTTAATAATAAAAAAATATTTTATTAAATACAATAAAAATTTAATTATTTATTCCTACAACATCCTGGAAAGAATGATTACACAACCAAAAATGAATTATGGTTTATGAATTATTGAACCATCAATAGTTCACAAAAAATAAAAATAAAAATTACTAAATAGAAACCATGTGGTAACGTTAGAGGAATGTTCTGTGTGTTTACTAGGTTGGTATGTTTCTAAAGGATTGTGAAACTAAAAAAAAACCTAAAGTAATGATGCTGAAAAAAATGCTTTTATTAAAAATAAATAAATCAAATAAAAAAAATTTCTAATTGTGATAAAAGTTCAAATCAAGCTTAAAAAGGTCCAAATAGTCTCATTCCCAAAAACAATTTTAGATGATACATTAGATTCACACACCCAGTTAACTTTAAAGAGCTAAAGCTTTGTTTCTGCCCTGTTTGCCCCTCCTCTATCACCAGCGTAATTGTTTACATCCTCCAGGTCACGAATGAGACTACAAAATAATGACATTATCCATCGTGTCCCTCTCCTCTGCCCCTGCCAGTGTCCCAAACCCACCCAATGTCATTAACGCCTCCGCTCTTCATTCTCCAGTCTTCAGGGAGATAATATTCCTTCATTTCTGGAGCACAATGGCAAAGGAGGCAAACAGAAGGTCCACCTTAATCTATCAGGGCTCCTTCAGCGGCTCTGAAGCTCCTCTGACAGCCATAGCATCGCTGGACCATGGGCTGCGGGACAACAGACACAATTAAACCTCATGAAATGCAAATGCAGCCTATTTTTAAGGCAAAAGGAGGGGGTTATTTTCTGCCTGAAACCACCATCTGCTGGCTATCACCTGCACAAAGCCTCATTGGGTTGGGAAATTTGTAGCTTTAATATTTTTTATGTTAATTAAAAAAAAAGGGAGAGCAAAAACTGAGAGGGAACTGGCAGTACACAGCTGGTTTGGATCAGGAGAAGGAGCATTCAGTGGTTTGACCCCTCTAACACATGTGCGAAGAGCCCATAATTCAAGTTGTGTCATAAATATTTGATATTTTCATATGATTTATATCTATATTACATTAAAATTAAATGATATAAGAAGATGTTATATATAAACTATTTAATGTTATTTATATGCAATACATATTAAGAACACAAAAACATAATATTAAATGGAATTAAATACGTACAAAATGTTTTAGTTAAAAAAAATAATAAAAAATAAATAAATGTATTAATAATATAGCATTTAGAAATTAATAAATACCATCAGTGAACATGAGAAACCTCTTTTAAAAATCAACATCAAAATATTAATAATAATAATAATAATAATAACAATAATAATAATAATTATTATTATTATTATTATTAAGAAATATGAAGCATCCCAAAAACATATACACATATGCATTCTATTTTTTTTTTTTTACCAAATCTAGGAAAAATATGACAGTTAAGAGTAAACATTTTATTTAAATACATTAAATGTAATATAACATGTTTTAGATAATTTAACATGAATCAATCAATCAATCAATCAATCAATCAACCTCAAGTTAAAAAAGTGCCCCAAAATTGTATACACATACAGGCACTCTGAAAAAATGTTGGTTTATTTCAACCCAAATCTAGTGATACTGCTGGGTTAATATTTTACATTTAAATTAACGAAGAGCCTATAATTAATGTTTTGACATATATTTTATTACACATCTATTACACTAAAATTTAATATTAAACTGTAATAACAAAAAGTATCAAATTAAAAAAAGTATCCTATATATTAGAACTTTATTTTGCAAGAACACAAAAAAGTAGTAAAATAATAGCAAACATTTTAATAAAATAAAATAAATGTAGTATGTAGTTTTAGTTAAAATATACATAAAAGAATGAATAAATAAATAAATAAATAAATAAATAAATAAATAAATAAATAAATAAATCTCAGTAAAAAAAAAAAAAAGTACCCTTAAAAATGTATACACAAATATACATTTTTAAATATTTTGGGATATTTCAACTCAAATTTAGGTAAAACCCCCCAAAAATAAATAATGCAAAGAGCCCATTATTATTGTTTTGTCAAATATTTCATACTTTTAGAACATTCACATCTATATTACATTAAAATGAAATAATAAATTGTGTTATAACAAAAAGTATTAAATTAGAAAGTATCCTACATATTAGAACGTTTGTTTATCAAGAACACAAAAATAGCAGTAAAGTAATAGTGAACATTTTAAGTGAATAATATAAATGTAATATAATACATAAAATAAATAAATAAATTTCAAGTAAAAAAGTTCCCTTAAAAATGTATACATATATATGCACTATAAAAAATGTTTGGTTATTTCAATCTAAATCTAGGTAAAATACGAGCAAGTCATCCTGCTGGCTTATTTTAACTCAAATCTACACTGTAAAACCCAACAGTCAACTTAGCCAAATAAAATGAGTGTAGTTAACTCAAAAATGACTGAAAGTTAATTCTACTACTTTTATAAGAGTTTGATCTCAGTATTGAAGGTAATGGGTTAATTAAATACCTCATTACTTCAACTTAAATGGAGCAAGTTCACAGTACTCATTCCGATTAGTTTTTAACTCAAATAGTTTGTAAAAATTGGTTTCCTTAAACAGTTTGAGTTGCCTTTACTCATTGGGCTTTACGGTACTCAGTTGTTTTGAGTTATCTTCATTTATTGGACTTTACAGTGTTCAAATTGCTTCGTTTACTCAAATGAATTAAGTTCACAGTGTTTATTAGGATACGTTTCTGAACTTAAATAGTTGCAATCAGTTTCCTTAAATGGTTTGAGTTACCTTAACTTTTTGGGTGTTATAGTGTAGGTAAAATATGGATGAGACATATTGTTGTGTTAATATTTTAAATTAAATTCATAGGCCAAATTTAACCCATTTTTTGATTAGAGAAAAAAAAAACTAAAATTATGTTGAATTTGCTCTACAAATTGTGTAAATAAATAACCCAGTGGTATATTTACTCTATATTTCATGCAAATTTGGATTGAAATATCCCAGAATTTTGTAGAGTGTACTGGTCATGCATACATGAGGTAAAATGAGTTCAAAAACACAGCAGATGTTTTCTTTTGCAATCAGTTCATGTCTTTGACTTGAAATTGATATAAACTTTTTTACTGCCAAATGAATGCTTCATTTACTTTCCAAAAAAGTAATTTCATTCTCATACTTTAGACTTCAACACAAAAAACAGAAACACACAAATCACACGCCAATGCATAAACACATTTACATGCCTACAAACAATTTGGACAAACACCCCTTGACCCTTCACACATGCACAAACACACACAGAAACAGCACCTCCTATCAAAGGTGACCCTCGCACCATTGCTTTCGGTTCCCCGGCGGCTTCATAAATCCCCTAATATGCGTGTGCTTGTTTAGAACCTGATCTCTCCTCGCCCTGAGGTCAAGCATGAGCTGTACCCGAAAAACACGTCTGGACGCAAGTCTTTCCCTAGGGCACCGTTTCGCCAGGGTCAGAACAGACCTGCTGTTTTACTCTCCCCCCCTCGTCCAACGGCAGCCGCAAATGTTCACTCTTCACGCTCACAAAAAGGCCTTTCGCTCAAGAGGCCCCATGATTTGGCCCCGAGTGGCCCGATCATAAGGGTTTCAAGGTCAAGACCAGGCTAGGTCATCAAAGCCAGATCTGCCCTCTGCTCTAGAGTCTGTCCATCATAGTGTCCAGATGAAGGAAGCACTCGCCACTTATGGAGTCGAAGCAGACTAAATCGAAGCCATTCAGCCTCATCTATCATACTCAATCAAGCTAATGTGAGAGAACAGACGATCTGGTCATAATAAAGGCTTTGAAAGGAAAGAATTCAGGGGTGATGAGACGGACCATATATTTCCTCTGTTTAACATTTGAACGATGATGAATTAGGTAAAGTGGCAAGGCACTGTCTTAAAGGGATAGTTCAGCCCAAAATGAAGCTTTTGTCATCATTTACTCACTCCCAAGTCTGCTGAGAACCATTGAGCACAAAGGGACCTATTTAAAGCGGAATATTTAAAGCAGCCACTATTGTCTATGCATTAAAAACGAACGATGCTCATGGCAGTGAAGCAAGATTTATTGTGTTTAGCAACATTTCCATGTATAATGCACTCAATTTTTTTCTGTTTTTTTCTAAATACATAAGGGAGAGCAGGGATGGAAGTAACAAAGCAATTTACTCAAAGCCAGGACAACATTTACTTTCCAGGATTCAGAATGCAACTCTTGATATAGAGCTGCTAATATAACCTGATTTTGGGATAGCTCCAAATTCTGTTTTTTGAGAGCAGAAAATTATTGTGTTCTTTTTTTTTTCCTTTACAAGTTGTGTTTCTTTTTCATGTGTCACACTAATGATCAATCCACAGTTTATTTAACACATCATTGAGTTTGAAATGTCTGAGTTTTTCATTTTAAAAGTAAATCAGCTTTAAATGGCTAGAGCTCCTGAGGAGACTAAAGTAACACTGTTATTTATGTCACTCTGCCTATAGCCATGCGTTATTTGTCACTTGTTTTAGTTTGGAGTATTTTCATTCAGATGTTTTTAAAAAAAAATGCATATTGCTAATAATGATAATAACAATAATAATAATTAAAAAAATGTAAAAAAAAAAAAAAACATTTTGCATTGTCGGATTGCTTTCGAAACATTTGATGAAGTTGAACTTTAAAATGAAAATGGCATTTAATATTTTTTGCAAAAGAAAAAAAAAAGGACAAAATATGTTTTCAGTTAACTTTAACATTAACAATATTTGTTTATGACCATTTGTTTTAGTCCTATCACACATTAAAGTGAATTTTATATAAAATCATGATATACACAAGAGTCTCTGGACTTGATGCATCACTAATGTCAAAATTGTAACAATTTAAAAAAAAATCCTTTTTGGCCTTAATGAAGCTGCCATTATTACCTGATTTCAAGACCATGTCCTTGCTAACGGCAAATTTCTTTTTTTTTTTTTTTTAAGAGCAGAAAGTTTTTGTAGTGGTTCTTCTTTTTTTCCTTATTATAAGTTGTTTCTCTTTTCATGTGTCACACTAATTATCAATCTACAGGTTATTTAAAGCTATAACACATCCTTGAGTTTGATATTTTTTGAGTTTTACATTTTAAAGTAAATCAGGTTTAAATAACAAGAGTTTTTGAGGGGATGGAAGTAGCACTGTTATTTATGTCACTCTGCTAATATGCCTTATTTTTCACTTCCACATTATGGTTTGCAGTATTTGAATTCAGATGTTTTAAAAAATTAATGCATATTGCCAATAATAACAATAATAAAAAAAGAACTTTTTAAAATGTATATATTTCATTGTTGGATTGCTTTTGAAAGATTTGATGGAGCTGAACTTTAAAATGAAAATGGAAATTTTATATTTTTTGCAAAAAAAAAAAAAAAAAAGGGACAAAATATGTTTTCAGTTAATTTTAACATTAACATTAAACCAGTAAATCTAGCAAATATTATTGTCACTTTTGACCCACCTGTGTGTTACTTTTGTCCCTGCGATAGATAAAATACACTGTAAAAAAAGCATGTTGTCACAACACAAATCGATTAAGTTAACTAACATTTTTTTTTTTTTTTTACAAATTTAAATGGATTAAACATAAAACAATTAAGTTGTCTAATAAAAAACTTTTTTTAAGTGACTTGGAAAGTATCA